CTGTTGTCTTTTTAAAAAGGTGTTTTAACCAGGAAGGAGAAATGGCAGAGATGGGAACAAAATAGAAACTAACACCAAAAGCTAACACAACAGAACCCCTCCCAATTCCTTTTTTGCTGTATTGAAACCTTGTTCTAAGCCACCTCTTTTTCTCAGTGTCTCCCACCTTGGCTTGCTCTCGTCAAACCTCTGCTATTGTTTAAAACCACCGGTTCCCTCATTGGCACTCCTTTCTTGCTATCCTGAAACTTCTCCCTCATCCATTTCTCAGCTGCCTCATACGAGAGAGAAGAAAGATACAGAGCCCTCAAATATTCCATAGACTCACATGATGTCTTGCATTGGGGTAATATGTCTTGTCTTCAACATGTAGTTTCAGATTCAATGTAGTAATTTAGAATGGGTATTTTATTAACAAGAGAACACCCACACCTACACCCACACACAATATTCATCAACTGGACTGAACCATCTCTGACTGAACAAGCTAAGTGACAGGCTTGCTCTTAAAATAGCACAGAGAGACAAGCCCCCAAAACTTGGGACTGGTGACTGAAGACCCAATATCTCAGGAGAGCGAGTTCCACATCCTGGGCATTGCTACAAAGAAGGTCTTGTCCCTTGTTTCCACCAGCAACACCTCATCTGGTAGAGGGACATCTAGCAGAGCCTCTCCAACTGGCTGCAGAGGACAGGCAAGTTAGTGGGTTGTATCCCATGTTATTCCTACTCAGAGTACAGCCATTAGAATAATAAAACTGTAGAGTTGGAATGGACCCCAAGGGTCATCTAGTCCAACCCCCTGCAATGCAGGAATCTCAGCTAAAGCATCCATGACAGGTGGTCATCTGACCTCCACTTAAAAACCACCAAGGAAGGAAAGATCTATTAATAGATCTGACTAATTTAGGTTCTGCAATTTTAATGGGGCTACTCTGAGTAGAACTTAGTTGGCTACAACCCTACATAAACCCTACAAACCCTACATGCATAGGGTACCAATGTACGGGGTTTTTAACCCACTGAGCCTCTAAACCAACTTCCCCCAATCTGGTGCCCTCCAGGGGTTTTGGGCTTCCTCTCCCATCATCCCTGACTATGGGCCCTGTTAGCTTGGCAGGGCCGATGGCAGTCCAACATTTGGGGAGCACCAGCTTGGGAAAGGTTGCTCTATAATTTGAAGCAATACATGGAGTAAACCCTTAGGAACCCAGAGCCTGACACCAAGTCAGACCCTTGGCCCACGTAGCTCAGGGTGGCCTCCACTGACAGGGAGCAACTCTGGGATTCCTTCCAGCCTTGTCTGGGCAGGCCTGACCATTGAGCTACAGTTCTTCCCTGTGGTGCCTCTAAATATTTAAACACTTAAGCTAATGTTATTGGAATTTGTACCAGGACGTATGGCAACTTCTATGGGGCTGGCAACTGTCAAAGTCAGTGTGGGGCAAGCCTCTACCCTTTCCTTTTGAATTTACACTGGTTGGCAGGTTGGCACTGCATGACATCTAACGTGGCTGGAAGATCTTATCACAGTAGAATTTAGTCACTTAGTGGCCTCTCTGCTAGACTGGTGCCAAGCAGGAGAGTGATTGTGGTGATCGGGATGACTGTCCCTGAGAATCGATCTCAAGACCACCCCATTCATTTTCTTAATGACTCTAAATGGCTTCTGTACAGCCCACTGTTTTGACACTTGGAGCCCTAGAAATTGAATTAGCCCCTAGAAATTAAATTCTCCAACACTGTGTGATGATGAAACACGAGAAACAAACAAAAACAAGTAATGAAGCTGTGCTTTTAATGTTCCATAGGACAAGACCTTTTATTGTGGAAGAAATTAGAGTGGCAGATGTTCCATGAAGGAAGCAAACAGTCACCACTACCTTTGCATTTTTTCATTCAGTGGGATTCAGGTGGATTATCTCCCCCAGCAAAAGATAAGAGTATTTTAAACCGTTTTTATTAAATGGTCTATTTGCTTGCAGTAACTGTATGTAACATATATCACAGACGTTATTGACCTGAGAGCAAACCAGAATACATAAAACCTGATTTTCATTCTTTTTTTCAAAGCATGATACTTGAATTCATAAATGCTGAAATATCTAATTAAAAATCAGATTGACTCATTTTCTTTCACATGCAGTGCATTGTTTGTTTGTAAAAGGGTTGTGACCTGCACTTCCAATGTAACATAGCCAAATGTATACTTTTCTTGTTACTAAGTAGGCAGAAAACATTTATTAGGTCAGTTTTTATTCATTTATTATTTTGTAATTTTCTCAACAGCACCTTCATCCAAACTATGGACTCCAGGATGGTGTACATGAAAATCACACATCATTCTAATACTAATAAAATATTTTTTAAAATAACAATAATAACGACATAATAAAATTTATTTAATCAAAGACCAGAATTTTTATGCTGATGAATTCTTACCCTTCGGCAAAAACACAGCTAATCTTTTTTTAAAGAACATCTGCTTACTTTTGGATTTTATGTTGTACTGTCATTCAGGTTAAGGATGCTCTTATAAAACATAGTCATGTAAAAGGATGTTAAAGCCACAAGGCAAACATAATGACAGAAAGAACTTAAGCATGTCCTGCAGCCTAACAACAAATTTGTCTATAAGTGTCCATTAGACTTCACACTCACAGCGCAACCTTGTTTTGATCCTTCATAACAATCACTGAGAAACTTATGTACAATACACTCATGCCTGATAGCTGGGAGCTGTAAATGATTTTTTCCCAACTTCTACAGCAAGGTTGTACAATGATCTGAGAGTACTTAGAAGAGAGCACACAAAACAGTATAAAAATAGAACCTATTTAATGCTCAGTTTTGTTCCTGACAAATAATGTTTTATCATTAGCATCTGTATACACCTCAGTGACTCACATGCACTATCAGCAAAATGAAGAGAGATGATTCTGCTGAGAGTGAGCTAAATTATCATTTTATGTGTCCCAGACAAATGAGAACATGGCCATAGGAACCCCTGCAAACAACTGGTTTTTAAATAAAAGTTTCAACTCTTCTTTACTGTAACATAATAGGCTTGGCAATGATTTTTTAAGTTAAGTTATGGTAAGTTAAGTTGATATGCTATATGAAGTTCTTTAGAAAAGGCATACAAGGTGTTTGCAGATTCCTTAAATATTATGATATTTATATTGTGATCCTGAAACCAGCTAAATTGGTTCTAAGCAGGTAAAAAAAAGCTTGTAAAAAATATCTGCCAGAGGGAATAAAGGGCAAGCCATGGGACAGAATGAGCAACGTGCATTTCACATATAGTCAAGGCAGTATTCCTTACTCACTACGAGGCTTCAGATGAGCAGAGTAGTAACCACTGTATTCTCTTTCTCATGTCATATATTCTGCTAATCTATCTGAATGGAGAGAGAATCAATCATATCAAGTGCAGGAAACAGGAGCAGACTATTAGCTGGTGGTTCTAAGATGCTCCAGCTACCTTCTGTGCCATCAGCACTTTTCCCCTCTGACATTTTACACTCTCTCGCTGCAACCGAGGGTCAGGAGGAGAGCAAGTTACTGCTCAGATGTGGCTTTTTAAGCTTGTGTACATGACTGGACCTTCAAATATGTTAATACAATTTAAGCAATATGATGAATGCCTCTCTCTTGTTGGCCAGAGACAGGCAGGGCAAGAGAGAGAAAGATGCATCCATTATGTATCTACATTTCATTTTGCACATCAAAAAGAAAATCACATATACAAAAGATGAAGAATTGCATATGAGAAGTAAATGGATTTTGGTTCTGCCATTCCCCTCCCCCATGGAAACTTGTAGTGCTATATTGTTAAACCAAATAGTTGAGGCAATTCTGCTGTGCTCTGTCCCCCCCCCCCCCCCATGTCAGCCTATTCAGTTTGATTTTAGATTTTATTCTCCTTCAGGTTTTTCCTTCTAAAAACTACCCATGTCCTATTGCTTGAAATCAAACTGATCCTTCACAAGTCACCAGTTATTGCAATGCATCTTTGCATCCTACTCACCCACAGTACATAATCACAATATGACAGTCTACCCCCTCAACATGCCGTGTGTGCGTGTGCACAGAGAGGAGCTGAGCAAAAGCCACTGAAGGAAACAGAGAAAAGCACACATGCACTATTTAATTCTGAATCAAGCAGCTAAGGTCAAATTCTCACAATGCATTACACACACACTCTCACACATCCCACCCCCTCCAGTAACTATCATAAGCACCAATTATTTGGCAAGGATAAAACACACTTTATTCATCTAGGGTTTTTTAAAAAATCAAAATGCTGTTACCAAGCAGATCAAAGACTATGTTCCATGTTCTGAAATCCATAAAGGCCCTCCCTTATCACTCCCCCTCTGTATCTCTCTGGAAGAGCATCCATGATCTCAGATCAAATTTAACCAACATCCTCAGTTAAAAAAGAAATAGATTGGGAGCTTGATAGTGCAAAGCATGACACTTTTGAACTCTAAAACAGCTTCCAATTGGTTATGGCAACGAAGCCTCTCTTCCTCCACCCCCACCCCCACCCCGCACACACACACACACACGGAGGGGCGAGGAAACTGGCCAGCTTTTGCGAAAAGAAAAGAAAAAAGAAAACTACTAAGCACAGCATCAAGGTCTGACTCTGCGGCGAAGGGGGCCTGTTTTGCCGCAAATAATTCATGGAAGCCCCCCCTGGTGCGCTGGTGTCTTTCCAGCATCCAGATGACAGAGAGGGAGGATTTCACTGCAAAGAAACCGGGCGATTCTGCCGATTTGCCACGGTTCGCATTTTAATTAATGCAGCACTCCTGGCCCCGCGGAGCCGAGCTGCGTGGCCGTGGAAGAGCAGGTCAGCGGGAAGAGCTTCCTTCGCCCGGGTCGCGCGCGTGGGCGCGCAGCGCCTCTCCGGCCCCGAAGCCAAGCGGGGCAGGCGCCCCATCCCGGCCGGCGCAGCGCCCAGATCCCGCAGCGCGGCGCCCGCTACTCACCAGAGCTTCCTCTTTAAGGGCATGAGGCTGCCCCGGTTGGAGGCGGTCACCCCGATGGCCATCTGCAAGACAGTCAGGTATTTCTGATACTTCATTTTGCCGTCGCCCCCCCGGTCCCTGCTGCGTCCCCGCCGCCGCCACCGACAGAGTCTCTCCAGCCGCTGCATGCAATCATCAAATTTTTATTTCCAGGCATCTGCCGTCCCTGCGTCGCGCTTCTTCCCTCCTCCGCCTCCTCCTCCTGCTCCTGCCGCGCTCCCTCGCTCCCTCGCGCTCCCGCTCGCTCGCGCCGGGCAGCCCCCCCGCCCCCGCCTCCTCCTGCAGCTCCTCTCTCCTCCCCGCTCGCGCTCGCCTCTTTCTTTCTCCTCCTCCTGCTGCTGCCTCGCTCTTTCTTTCTTTCTCTCCCTCAGCTGACAGGAGCTCCTCTTTCTCCTCCTCCTCCTCCTCGCCCCTTCACTCTTGCCCACCTTTGCGATCCCTGCTCCTGTTCCGCCCCCCTCCGGGTTCATTCACACTTGCGTACCTATCGCGTCATGATTAGCCCGATTGCACGTGGGAATGGGCCAACCCAGCTACAACACACACACACAAACTCAAAGAAAGGAAGAAAATATTGGTGTGGTCTCCAGTGCAACGCTTTTGGATCATTTAAGGGGCAGAAGTGCTGATTCACACACATAGGCACATAAATGCCTTCATAAGTTGGTTTGGTAATGGTTTTGCATGTGAACAGGCCATTGGAGTGCATCTCTCTCTCTCTCTCTCTCTCTCACACACACACACACACACACACACTCACACGTGCAAGTACAAAGAGGGAGATGACATTAATATCTCCTCCAGTGTAATGCTTTGGAGCTTTTTGGGTGCCAGCAGTGGAAAGGCTGATTCACACATGCAATTGCACCACATACAGTTCAACCCTGAACACCATTTCGAAGAAGTAGGTCGGAGTTCAAAGAGGCTTGCTTCTTCGTGAATAAGTTTAAAGTTGCAAAATGAGGGATTATTTGCATTTGTGAACAGGCCACTCACATGGTCATCAATCCATTGTTGTGATTATTTGCACATGTGAATGGGCCCTCTCGGATTCACCACCATCAACACTAAACTTTTATATCACTGAATGTCAACACAATGCGTTGAGGCATTTCAGCAATAACATATTGAAAGGGCTCCTTACACATGTGCAGTGCAATCCTAGGCACGGTTATTCAGAAGTACAGTGGTACCTCGAGTTAAGATCTTAATTCGTTCTGGAGGTCTGTTCTTAATCTGAAACTGTTCTTAACCTGAAGCACCACTTTAGCTAATGGGGCCTCCTGCTGCCGCCGCACGATTTCTGTTCTCATCCTGAAGCAAAGTTCTTAACCCGAGGTACTATTTCTGGGTTAGCGGAGTCTGTAACCTGAAGCATCTGTAACCTGACGTGTCTGTAACCCGAGGTACCACTACTGTGTGGGTGTGTTTAAAGTATGGTTGTAGATGAACAAATCAGTGGCCCCTAACCCTGAGGGCTATGCTCCACCTCCATTACTGAATACCAGTCACTGGGAACTGCAGGAGGGGCAAGCGCTCTTGTCCTCAGGTCCTGCTTGCAGGTTTCCTATGGGCATCTAGGTGGACCCTGTGAGTACAGAACACTCCACTGGTCTTGTCCAGCAAGCTCTTCTTACATTCTTACATTTGTGTGTTGATGTGGGGAAAGCCCCTCTTAGAATCATGGAATCATAGAATGGTAGAATTGGAAAGGACTCCAAGGGTCTTCTAGTCCAACCCCCCGCAATGCAGGAATCCATGACAAGCATCCATGACAAATTACCATCCAATCTCTGTTTTAAAAACCTCCAAGGAAGGAGAGTCCACCCCCCCTCCTGCGAGAGACTGTTCCACTGCAGAACAGCTCTAATTGTCAAAAAGTTTTTCTGAATGTTTAGTGAGAATCTCCTTTCTTGTAACTTGAAGCCATTGGTTCGAGTTCTCCCTTCCAGAGCAGGAGAAAACAAGCTTGTTCCCTCTTCCCTGTGACAGCCCTTGAGATATTTGCAGGTGGCTATCATATCTCCTCACAGTCTCCTCTTTTCCAGGCTAAACACACCCAGCTCCTTCAAGCTGTCCTCATAAGGCTTAGTTTGCAGACCCTTGATCATCTTGGTCTCCCTCCTCGAATTCTGTGCCCAGAATTGGACACAGTATTCCAGGTGTGGTCTGACCAAGGCAGAAGAGAGTGGGACTGTGACTTCCCTTGATCTGGACACTAGACTTCTCTTGATGCAGCCTAGAATAGCATTAGCTCCCCCCCCCGCCCCCCGCTGCATCACACTGCATCAACTTGTGGTCCACCAAGACCCCTTAGATGCTTTGCACATGTACTGCTAGTAAGCCAGGTGTCCTCCATCCTATATTTTTGCAGCTGGTTCTTCCTGCCTAAGTGCAGAACCTTACATTTGTCCCTATTGAAATTCATTTTGTTAGCTTGCGCCCAGTTCTCCAATCAGTTAAGGACATTTTGAATTCTGTTTCTGTTTCTGCGGCATTAGCTATCCCTTCCAGTTTGGTGTCATCTGCAAATTTGATGAGCATCTTCTCAATTCCTTCATCCAAGTTGTTTATAAAGACGTTGAACAACAACGGGTCCAGGACACAACCCTGTGGCACCCCACTTGCCACTTTTTTCCAGGATGATAAGGAACCATTTTTGGGTTTGGTCAGTCAACCAGCTACAAATCCACCTAAATCTACCTTGTTCATCCCACATTTTTCAGCTTCCTTGTGAGAATATCATGGGGGACTTTGTCAAAAGCCTTGCTGATCCATGAAGTTTGTAATTCCGTCAAAAAATAAATCAGATTGGTTTGGCATGACTTGTTTTTGAGAAACCCAGGCTGGGTCTTAGTAATCACAGCATCCTTTTCTAAGTACCGTATTTTTTGCTCTATAAGACTCAATTTTCCCCTCCTAAAAAGTAAGGGGAAATGTGTGTGCGTCTTATGGAGTGAACGCAGGCTGCACAGCTATCCCAGAAGCCAGAACAGCAAGAAGGATTGCTGCTTTCACTGCGCAGCGATTCCTCTTGCTGTTCTGGCTTCTAAGATTCAGAATAATTTTTTTCTTGTTTTCCTCCTCCAAAAACTAGGTGCGTCTTGTGGTCTGGTGCGTCTTATAGAGTGAAAAATACGGTGCTCACAGAACGACTGTTGAATTATCTGTTCTAGGACCTTTGCTGGTATCGATGTCAAGCTCACCGGTCTGTAGTTACCTGGGTCTTCTTTTTCGCCCTTTTTGAAGATGGAGACAACATTTCCCTGCCTCCAGGCTGTAGGGACCTCACCTGTTTCTTCCCAGGTAATTAAGGCTGTGGTCTTAGTGGTTCTTTGTACACATGAATGAGCAGATACAGGTAAACCACTACACACAGAGAGAGAGGGAGAGAGCGCGCACACTTTTGTATCGGCTCCCATCACCTCCAACACAACTGGGGACTTGTTCAGACATTTTAGCTGCAGATCACTAATACATGCTCATTGTTCAGTTAGAGCATCACCAATGGATGACAAGCATGCTTGAATGGGCCACTGTTGCAGATGCAGACCCTGGTGGAATTTTCCTATCGTGTCCAATGCTATTTAACAGAATCTAGTTACACAGCTGCCAGTCAAAGAGTGTGCAATAAGCAGGTGAAAGTCATATACAGTGGTACCTCGGGTTAAGTACTTAATTCGTTCCGGAGGTCCGTTCTTAACCTGAAACTGTTCTTAACCTGAAGCACCACTTTAGCTAATGGGGCCTCCTGCTGCTGCCGCGCCGCCACTGCACGATTTCTGTTCTCATCCTGAAGCAAAGTTCTTAACCCGAGGTACTATTTCTGGGTTAGCGGAGTCTGTAACCTGAAGCGTCTGTAACCTGACGTGTCTGTAACCCAAGGTACCACTGTATGGAACCATCTCAGAGCCTGGAGCAAGTTATGTGAGACTATCATGAGACCTCAAGGACAATATCCTAATATTTATAAATAAAACAAATCTTTTTAAAAATGTTACTAGCCCGCAACACCAATAATAATAACCCCAACAGGAATGTGCCTGAAACAACCAACATTTGTATTACATATGTATGTTTATTTTTTGTTTGCATTCAGTTTTGTTGTTTTTCTTTTTTTTCTGTGTTTCTTTTTTCTTTCTATCTTTTGTTATTGTGTGTTAGTGAACTGTATGATCTTGTTTAAATAAACAAAAATATTCTATAAAAAATAGGAGAAGGGATTCTAAGGGGTTCTGTGCTCAAATTACAGGGAAACTGAGGAGGAGGCAGCATGATTTTGTTAAGAGTCCAGAGGTGAGGTTTATGGGTTTTACTAAAGGTTCCTATATCTATATACATATCTATACACATCCAAACACACATGTACTCATACACATCAACTCATGAAGGGTTCTTCAAACACCCCAACCCCTAATTCAAGAATGGTTCCTGTTCAGAGAAACTCCCTTTTAAAAAAATATTCTTGTCCTCTTTTTCCCCTCCATAACTCAAACTGGTCTCCTGCATTGCTTTTGCATTTGTAGCATCTCCCTCTGCCCTCCAAAACCAATTGCTGACATTGGCTGTGTACACACCATATATTTAAAGCACATTTAAGACACACAACTCCCAAAGAATCATGGGAACTGTAATTTAGCCCCACAGAGCTACAATTCCTAACATCCTCCATAAACTACAGTTCCCAATATTCCATGGGGGTGCTCTAAATCTATGGTGTGTACACAGGAACCCCCCCCCAAACATACAGAGTACAATCCTATGCATGTTTAGTCAGATTAAAATCACAGATCACCTTCTTGCTTCTGAAAATGTTTTCTTAATTGTCTGCATAAGCCTAGGGTTGCCATCCATCCCTAAAAAAACATGATTGTCCTTTTTTGGAGAAAAGTTTGGACTTCAAACAGAATGCCTTTTTCATGTATTCGAGTTCCTCCTGCTGCTGCTGCTTTTCAAAACTGTGTGGGCAGAGGGTGGGTCTGGTGGAGGAGGACAGCAAGAGCCTGAGAGGGTGTGTGGGTGTGTGGGCGTGTGACTCAGGTTCAATCTTCATTCGGCCATGAAAGTCTTAATGAATAACCTTAGGCCAGTCGCTATAGCTCTCAGCCTAACCATTTTCATA